GCCAACAGACACATGAAACGATGCTCAGCATCCCTCCTCATCAGGGAAATACAAATCAAAACCACACTGAGATACCACCTCACGCCAGTCAGAGTGGCTAAAATGAGCAAATCAGAGAACTCTAGATGCTGGCGAGGATGTGGAGAAACGGGCACCCTCCTACACGGTTGGTGAGAATTTAATGAATCCTTTTTAAAAAATTTCTTTGAATGTTTATTTTTAAGAGAGAGAGAGAGAGCGAGCGAGCATGAGTGGGGGAGGGGCAGAAAGAGAGGAGACACAGAATCCAAAGCAGGCTCCAGGCTCTGAGTTGTCAGCACAGAGCCTGGTTTGTGGGTCTCAAACCCGTGAACCTCAAGATCATTACCTGAGCCAAAGTTGGTCACTTAACTGACTGAGCCCCCCGAGGGCCACACGAAAGATTAAATCTTTGAGTTCAACTCAATAAACACTGAATACAGGAGTGCCTGGGTGGCTCAGTCAGAAGAGCATGTGACTCTTGATCTCCCAGTTGTAAGTTCAAGCCCCATGTTGGTTGTAAGTATTACTAAAAAAATTAAGGAGTGCTTGCATGGCTCAGTTGGTTAACCATCTGACTCTTGATTTTGGCTCAGGTCATGATCTCACAGTTTGGGAGATTGAGCCCCATGTCAGGCTTTGTGCTGGCAGCGCAGAGCCTGCTTGGGATTCTCTCTCTCCCTCTCTCACTGCCCGTCCCCTGGTTGTACTCTCTCTGTCTCTCTATTTTAAAATAAAAATAAACCTCTAAAAAAAAAGGAGGGACTGGGAAAGGGTCTATGCAAGTAAGGGACTCCAAAGCACTAAGCTTCATTAACTTCACAAGTAACTCTGCCTCTAAGTGAATTACTATGTACCAGACTCTATGCTAGGCCCTGGGAACAGAGGATGGATAAATCACAGTGATGAGAAAGCCTATTGGAAAGCCTTCTCTCTGACTTTCCTTATCTCCTTTTCTTCAGTCAGCCCAGCATACAACTGAAGATTTATTTTCCTGAATCACTGCTATATCACTTTGATACTCCTCTTTTAAAAACCTTTCATTGACTTTCCATGGCCTGAAGGAGTTCTTATTTTCTATCAGCCATCATAATCAGTTGATGAGGTGTGTGTGTGTGTGTGTGTGTGTGTGTGTGTGTGTGTTGAGGGGGGGATGCTTGGCCCCCAGACCTAAACCTACTGAATCAGAGTCATTGGACTTCGGTCTGTAATTCATTTTAAACACTCTCTCCAGGTGATTCTGATGCAGGTGGCTACACTTTCTTAGTAGCTAATGGGCTAAGGCCAAAGCTCCTTAATATGGGACATCATCCATAGTCTTGACCTATTTGCCTCCTTATTT